CCTCCTCCTCCTCCTCCCGTTCCTCCTCCTCCTCCTGATCTTCCTGCTCCTCCTCCTCCCTCTTCTAGTCCTCCTCCTCGTTTTCTGCGTATTCGTATTATTATGATTCGTCTTATGATTATTACTAGTATTATTATTCTCATTATTATTAATAATATTATTGTTAGTATTAGTATTATTATGATGTTTATTATAATTATTATTATTAGTATTATTAGTAGTATCATTATTAATATTAGTATTAGTATTATTATTAGTGTTGTTATTAGTATTAGTATTAATACTAGTATTAATAGTGGTGTTATTAGTATTGTTAGTATTAGTAATAGTATTATTAGTAGTATTGTTGGTATTGTTTTTATTAGTAGTAGTATTATTGGTATTATTTTTATTATTAGTATTATGATTATTAGTATTAATAATATTATTAGTAGTAGTAATCGTCGTGGTATTCTTATTATTAAAATTCTTAATCGTATTCCCAATATTATTGGCATTATTATCATTAGTATTATTCTTATTCGTATTATTACGAGTAGTAGTATTAGTATTATTCTTATTATTATTATTATTATGATTCCTCTTCCTCCTCCTCCTCCTCCTCCTCCTCCTCCATTCCCCTCCTCCTCCTCCTCCTTCCCCTCCTCCTCCTCCTCCTCCCCCTCCACCTCCTCCTCCTCTCCTCCTCCTCCTCCCCCTCCTCATCCTCCTCCTCCTCCTCTCCTCCTCCTCCTCCTCCTCCATCTCCTCCTCCTCCTCCTCTTCCTCCCGCGTCATCCTCCTCCTCCTCCTCCTTTTCTCCTGCCCTCTCCTCCCCTCCCTCCTCCTCCTCTCCTCCTCCTCCTTCCTCCTCCTCCCTCCTCCTCCTCCTCCACCCCCAATTCCCCCCTCCTTCCCCTCCTCCACCTCCTCCTCCTCCTCCACCTCCTCCTCCTCCTCCTCCTCTCCTCCTCCTCCCCTCCTCCCCCTCCCCCTCCCCCTCCTCCCCTACTCCTCCTCCTCCTCCTCCTCCTTCTCCTCCTCCTCCCCTCCCCTCACCCCTCCTCCTCTCTCCTTCCTCCTCCTCCACTCCTCCTCCTTTTCGTCCGCCCTCCTCCTCCTCCTGCCTTCCTCCTCCTCCTCCTGCCCTCCTCCTCCTCCTCCTCCTCCTCCTCCTCCTCCTCCTCCTCCTCCTGCTCCTTCTCCTCCTCCTTGGCGGTGTCGCCCAGCTCTGGGCCCCGAGACCCTCACAGATCCATCCTGCCCGAAGAATCGGCGGCGAGCAGGGGGGGGAACGTGCGAGGGAGGAGGCCTTCTCGGAAGGCGGCGGAGCGTCTACGGAAAAGCGCGCTCCACTACTCGCAGAGTCACTGCTCACAAATGGCCTGGATCCGCGGCGGGGCATTTACGACTTATTCCATAGAGGAGCGCGCTCGGGCCTCCGGCCTTCCAAGAGGTTCTTGTTTGCATATTCGGGGAAGGCTTATAGAAAATGCCTCAGAGAAGGCCAGGGGACTTCCGAGCCTTCTGAGGAGGCCCGCCCCTTCTCACTTCCCCCCTGGGCTCTCCGCCGACTTTTGTTACCAGCCTAGAGCATGTCCCTAAGATCGGCATCGCCTCACCTCGATGCCGATCTTGAGGGCATCCCATCGATTTCTGAGGGCGGCGCATCCCAAAGGTTCGCATCGCCTTCAGCCTTGTCCGTCCTAGGCTCCTGCTCAGACCCTCGACGTCATGACTTTTTCGTGACGTCGATCCAAAGAGACTTCGACCCATTCCCCGGGACCGGTTTCTCATCCTGCGTCGCTTGCTGACGGCCCCGAGGCCCAGCAAGGGCCCTCAGGGGCCGAAAATAGCGAAAAACTTGTCGTCGTAATGTTTCACTCCTCACTTCTCCCCGGGGCTCGCCGCCGAAAGAATGGCGCAGAGAGATGCTGGCCCTGGGCTCCGGCCGTGGTTTCTCACGGCGGGCGGCCCAAAGGGGGGGGGGGGGGGGCGGACTGCAGCGCGGGTCCCGCACCGCGGGCCGCCGCGCACAGTGGGAGCGCCAGGGATCGACCACCCGAGCTGTGTGTCTCTCGCTTCCGCTTCGCTTTCCGCATCCTTCGCTCCGTCGTCGTCCCGCCCCCTGGAGGCTCGGAGATGGGCACCAGCACCAACGCAGGGGGCTGCTCCCACCAGGGGATCGACCCGAGCAGCATGTCTCGCTTCCGCTTCGTTTTCGCTGTCCTTCGCTTCGTCTTCGTCTTCGTCCCGCCTCTTGGAGGCTCGGAGATGGGCACCAGTACCAACGCAGGGGGCTGCTCCCACCAGGGGAAGATGCTCCCAGAATTTGGTGCTGCTGGTAATCTCTCGGCCACTTACCCAGGAAGCCCGAATAGTACCACCATCACGGAGATCGGGGTGGAACCTCTTGGCCATCTAGAAGCCGCCCGAATAGTACCACCACCGCCGAGGTCGGGATCGTCTTGCGAGGCGGGGATGTATCCATATCCACCGCCTGGGAATCGACGTTCTGGTG